AAAAACAACGCACGAGCCGAGCGAGCGTAGCGAGCGTGCCGCGGCAGCGGCCGGCGAAGTGCCAGAAACGAATCGCTTTTGTTGATGGTAACATTTGGTTTATAATGTTTAAAAGATGATCGTGATCATTTTAATTTCAATTTTGATTTAGATGGACTTGACAATTCGGGATCTTTATAGCGTGTATATATGGACCATTTGTGTAGAAATCTTTACCCACACTTTCACATACTCAAGTATGGAGAAAAAAAAATCTAATTTTTGACACGATATTTAATACTTTAAACATATTTTTCTATACTTTTAGATTATTGAGAAACATGTTCTTTTGATATTCAATATAAAAGTGTTCTACGTATGTATGAGTTTGAAATTTGACATTTATTTATTTGGTGTATTATTAAAGGTAACACTGGGGAAAATATCTACTTGATCCTTTTTCATACTAATTATAAACTTACTATTGAATAAGAATAAGAGACTATAATTTATTTAGCGTTTTGCTTGCATTTTTCGACTGAATATTTATTTTTCTATTGCATGTAAACTATCAACCCCTTTTCTTTGATGTATGGTATTTTGGGTATTTAACCACCTTTCATTTGAAGATAGAACTTACTAACTTTTTGTAGACGTTCTCAAACTATAAACCAAACTTTACAAAAAAAAACGAAAAACACAAATTCCGCAACGAAGTTGGACTTAAAACCTAACCGCCCCGATTCCACTAGCTACTCGTTACCGCTCCGGCTGCTCGCAGCCCGGGGCAACCAAGCGAAAGCTTCTATTCTGAAACGAAGGCGAACTTAAAACCCCATCGCGTCGTGAACTGATCTATTCGAATATCTGGCCCCGACGTCGGTTCCCTTTTCATATAATAAATAAATCTTACATAAATAATGTAATGTAATAATGCAATGACATTTAATTGATTAATTAATGATAGTAACACTGATGGAAATATATGTTCGATTGTTTTTTAATATTATACAGTAATTTACTAATAAATAAGAATAAGAGAATGAACGACAAAACTTATTTTAAGTATCTATACAAAATTTATTTTAAGTTTTGCTTGCGTTTGTCGACTGAATATTTCTTTTTCTATTAAGTATCAACTGGCAACACTTTTTCTTTGATGTATGGTGCTTTGTGTCCTTTAACACCTTTTATTTGAAGATAGAACTTACTGACTTTTTCTAGGAAATTTCAAACTGTAAACCCGACATAACAAGAGGCGGACTTAAAACCCCACCGCCCCGATTCCACTAGCTACTCGTGACCTCCCCGGGCTGCTCGCAGCCCGGGGCAACCAAGCGAAAGCTTCTATTCTGAAACGAAGGCGGACTTAAAACCCCATCGCGTCGTGAATTGATCTATTCTAATATCTGGCCACGACATCGGTTCCCTTTTCATCTAATAAATAATTCTTACATATATAATGTAATGTAATAATGCAATTGACATTTAATTGATTTATTAATGATAGTAACACTGATGGAAATATATGTTTGATTGTTTTTTAATATTATACAGTAATTTACTAATAAATAAGAATAAGAGAATAAAAGACAAAACTTATTTTAAGTATCTATACAAAATTTATTTAAAGTTTTGCTTGCGTTTTTCGACTAAATATTTCTTTTTCTATTAAGTGTCAACTGGCAACACTTTTTCTTTGATGTATGGTGCTTTGTGTCCTTTAACACCTTTTATTTGAAGATAGAACTTACTGACCTTTTCTACGCAATTTCAAACTGTAAACCCGACATAACAATAGGCGGACTTGAAACCCCACCGCCCCGATTCCACTAGCTACTCGTGACCTCCCCGGGCTGCTCGCAGCCCGGGGCAACCAAGCGAAAGCTAGTCAGTTCTAATAAAGATGCGGTTCCATGATCGCCGCGGCGCCTCCACCAACATTGGTGGAGGCGGCCGCGGGGCGGCGGGGCCCTCATCATTCTGGACACCCCACTCATGTATCATCACTCATTATTCACGTTCTCTCATACTTTCAACTACCATTTCAATCACCCATTTCTATCTGGGAACAGGGGTTCTATCCTCACCTCACCCTCACCTTTCTTCTTTCACCATTCTTCGACCCCTGTTCCCACTTTCTCATCACCATCTATCCCCTTTTCTTTCTCTCTACCCCTTAGGAGGGGGCCAGTGGACCATCGAGAAGCTCCCGGGTGAATTCCCACCCCCTCCGCTCATCCTCACCTCATTATCAGCGCCTCTCCCATTTTTAAGGGGAGTTGGTATAATCCCCCCTCATAAGGGGGATTTAAAGCAAATTCATCAAGGTTCTTTCAACTAAAGACAATTGGAATTTTATAAAAAAAAAATAATAAATAAAGATGCGCGTAGTTGTTCTTCTGTTTTTTTTATTTATATTTTTCGATCGCGTGTATGATGAGGAGCGGGTGTGCAATCTGTTTTTTTTCTGAGTAATAAGCACAATCTTAAGTAAATATTTTTAGAGATAATTAAGAAATAATGTCGCTGCTGGGTGTACTGGACTGGCCTGGCAGCGTCATGCTATCGGTCGATTTCTGAATTGAGAAAAGTATAAAATCTAATTATTCTAATATCTTGCGACTTGAGACTACTATGGATATTAATGAAAAACTCTTCTGGCAGTTGTATATATTTTAATTATACCTTTCTTTACAATAATTTTTTGCACAACAATGATGATATAAATGACTTGTGTTCAATAAAATAAAATGCAACACAATACAAAATGGTTCAAAAATGAGACAAAAATATTTTTACAAAGACTCATCCGCAAGTCATCATAAGATAAACGATATATTACAGGTTTATTTTACAGTTAAATACATAACATGAGTCAGTACTTGCATAATTTTTTCGTCATATTTTTGTTAATAACGTTGATAGGTTCTTTGTTCTGCATTTTATTTCTTTGATCTACAAATACAATAAAATATAATAATCGTTCAATAACAGAGTATTAGTATTAAGAGACTGCCAAATTTTTAAACAGGTATAACAACTAACAGTCCAAATTTCGGCAGTGACAATATTTTAACGGAGGGTTTACAAAATGGGAAACCAAGGCGAGACCACCCGGGTCATGTCTCGTGGTTTCCAATAGGTTGCATAAAATGTAGCATAAGCGAGGCACTAGATTTAATAAATATGTTCAGCCTAACGCAAGCCCGAGTGGACTGATTTCTTAATGTATTAGTATTATTAATGTAGGATGTTCTACATTCAATTATTTTATAAATTTTAAGAATCAGTCACTTGTTCCCATAATGCGTAGTAAATTCACACAATAATAAAATAAGTGACTCACTGTCGCAAATATAATTAATTGTTAAACACCCCGTATAGTGGTCGCCACCATTATGTTAAGTTTTAACTGCCCATATTTTAAATGCACCAGCGGCAAAAAGCAATCCAGCAAAGTATTATAAAATTACAGATAAGACAGATGTAAAAAAATAATAAATTTCGTAGTTAATAGCTTATTTGGTGCTATTGCTGGTTGCGTTATCTAGCTCTAGTTTGGTTATCTGAAGTACAACCTAACTTGAACCGTACATAAAAGATAAAAGCGCGTAAAATGTTTCTACCCGCAAATAAAAACGTACCAGGTCCGTTTATAGTTTTACTTCATATTAAACGGTCATGTTAATATTTCATACCGTTTCAGAAGTCCCGCGCGAAATCGAACCCGCCACCATTTTAATTGCGACAGAATGTACACGCGAGGCAGATGGTCGCCGTCAATCAGAAAACATTATAAACATGCGATTATTGTCCTTGGTCGATGTCAAAGAAAAAGGATTTTTTCGGTGTTTTCATTTTTTTATTTTTTTTTAGATTTTCTCGTTTTTGTATATTTTTTTTTATAATTTTTTTATTTTAATATTTTTTGGTGTCGGCTTCAAGTGCTTTAATTGTTTTTTTTTTCAATAATTCAGAGTTTTCGAAACACTTTTGTTCATAATAATTAATAACTCTAATAAGTTTTCTTACATATAACACGTTTTAAAAATTATTTATTGTACTTTAATATTCAGCGCGGCCAAGTGCCTCTTATGTAAAATCGATATAAAACTTATCATAATGTTTATAAAAGTGCCAAGCGTTGCGGTTTTTTAATGATGCATGTCAAAGTATTCTGATGTTCGAAGTAAAACGTCGCGCCGGTATCGGATCAACGTTTACGTATAATTAATACAACAAAACATAACAAATCCGTCTCGAAACGAAGTACCGACTTAAACTTAACAAAAATGTGGCATCGCTGAAAACATATTGGTTTGATGCCCATCGTATAACATGGAAACTAATAACAGACTAGCGATATACAGTAACAACTATCGTCTTGTAAAAATATAAACATTGCATGCTCTCTAATCGGCAATAGATAAAAAATATATCATCGGCGATTTCATGTTTCGGTAAAAAATTTTGAAATTAACATCCAGTTCATATCGGGAACGACTTCTAACGCAAAAACAGTTAGAACGTTCGCACATTACAATATCTCCTATCTAATTATATCGGAACACCCATAATTCGGCGAGGCCAACGATCGTACAATCTTCACACATGCAACATTTCAAAGATATACCAGCTCTTTGTCGCCTCACTTCATACAGGGATCCCAGAGATCCTCGGAGCCGCTCGGGCGTCCATGTAAAGTTAAACTAATAATTTGGCTCAGCAAGCGACGTTCACACTTTAAGGCAACACAATATTTAGCACCATTCGTGATCTCCCGAAGAGCGAGGGACGCGCGCAAAAACATACGAGCGATATTCACGACGCGCCGACCGCATCATCGCCCGCTAAAGAATCACACTCGCTTCATATCTCTATACATACATATAAACGTATATATATACATATATATTAATTCTCTTTTTTTGTCGTTCACTCACAAAATATATACTATTTACACACGACCATAAAACATTCAAATATTTATTGTTTTTTTTTTACTCTTTCATTCTTATTATGTACATTATTTTAATTAAATAAGTTAAGTTAAAAAGGCGCGTTTATATGTAGTTCGCGGCGGGCCGCGGCGACAGTTCCTGCGTGTATACGGTATAGGGTACGCGGTATACGTCATCGCTGCGGCCACGCGTCGGCGAGCCGGAGGCCGTGCGCTAGTCGCGAATGACTGTCGCGGAATGTGCTCACGATCTTCTCGAACGTCTCCGGGTCGTACACAGAGCGTGCCGTGTTCGTCAGATCGAACGGCTCTAGAGATAAATAATGATTGAATGAGTTTTAAAATTTATTCTGCATGTTATTAATAGGAGCTACAGTTGGGTCATTATATCATTATAATAGACCATATTTGAAATCTATCAGTCTCGACTAACCTTTGATAAAAGTTGAAAAACGTGATATATAAATCATTAAAATAAATTAATTGTCATAATAGAAGAATCAGAAAATTTAACGTGACATTGACTAATAAACTTTTTTATATGTAAAAGGTCAAGTTAATTTTTATAATGGTCCAACTGTTGTATGTTTAAACTAGATATTATATTACTTTCTATGTAACCTGTAAACAGGGTTATTGGTAAAACACTAGCAAGATAGCGGGAAAAGATAAATGAATATTAAACGAAAAAACGATCTACAAGTTTAATATTTCGATCTACGCTTTGAAATTTTATCGTACAGTCAACAACACTTCAGACTATACAAAATTGTCATATTTTTCCACTTCATTATAAACCTTATATACTGTCAATAGAGTTCAAAATAATTAAGGAAATCGTTGCGTGCAGTTATTAACACTACTGCAGTATATTAAATTGTTTGGAAGTAACGATTTATGAAAACTGGTAGAATGAACTTTGTTATTTATGATGTAGAGAGGTGTCAAGACATTTGAGAGGGTGCTGGTGTTTAAAAAATATCCATGTATATAGAAGTTTTAAAGTAAGTTTCAATTAATATGGCGCATTGTGACTTTTAAATTCACACGATGACCGAACGTAAAGTAATAATGTCAATTAAGTCTTGCTTCAATAATCCATATTTCTAGCGTTACTAAATTTAGCTTTCTAAGCAGAAACATAAATGAGCCATATCAGTTGTGTCTTACTGTAATAGATAGGGTTAGCGATCTACAGCAAAAGAGTCGATCTTGGAAATCGATTCGAATCGGAGACTTTAAGATCGATCTGTTCTACAAATATACAAAAATCTTTTCAACTTAATTATTGAGGTATTATCGAATTATTACATTAAAGAAATTGTAATTATATTAAATTGTAATAATTATTAAAATAAAGATAAATTATTTATAGACATTAGTAGGAGTCTAAAGTAAAGAGCGATTTCCGACCCGTTGGATTTGTGCCAATCTTGAGATCGATTGGGGGGGAGAAAAAATCATTCCAAAAAAAAAACAAAGATCGAGTTCAAAAATATCGATTTTCGATAAAATCGAATGGAGGTTGACATCCCTAATAACAGTGAGTGGTGGATGTTGAGAATGTCATGTACGCGTTATACTGACCCTCTACGCAGAGCAGCTTCCACTGGTGCGGATCGTTCTTGTGCGCGCGCTGTGCTCTACACTCCGCTATCGGCAATCTCGCGCCCGCGCGCACGCTCACCGCCATACTGCTATACCTACACGATATATTGTTCATTCAAATAAATTTTAATAATAGCCTAATAGAGGCGTAGACAACGATTTTTATTTTACAGATATACATGATTTATAAAAAATATCATTCATATAATAAGTTAAAATGGAAAAATAAATTGATTTATTATTATATTTGATCAATTTTGCGTTCACAATTCTTATTATTGATGGAAAATTTTGAAAAAATCCACGGTTGCGGTGTTGGAGTCCCATCTCAGAGTGCCAGGGACAAATTGGATTTTTCATTAATTAAGAACAAATCGAATTTTTAAACTTCTGGCGTCGCCATGACGTTACGGTACTCTTGGAAACGAAAATCGTTCTATGTATGCACAAAGTTGAATTCTCTAAATTCTGATATGAGTAAGAAGGGCGTGACGTAAAGCGCTGTTTGTGGTTACGTGACAGCAAGTATACAATATATTTTTTTTTGTAATAGTTTAAGCAATCTATTATTATATTATTGGTAATAGTATATTAAACACACCAGAAAATAAAAATTTCGTTTACTTTCTACACCAGTTATAGAGTATTGCAAATTCTTTGTTTTGTTTATTATCAATACTATAGACTTTTAAATATTTTGATTGATGATTATCTATTATTTCATATACTTTTAAACTTTAGATTAATTGATAAATACGACTCACGGGAAATCTGCGTAATATCGCAACATGTTGAGGAACAGCTCAGCCAGGGAAGCGCGATTGTGTGGCCGCCGCTCCCCCCACCCCTCCCCCGCGCATGCGCCTCGCGGCAATATGCTGGGTGACGTGCCACCTGCAGAACACCATATATAGAATATACATCCTCACACACACTGGCGAAAGTGTATAACCATGAGTGTGAGTGAGAAGGAGAGCGTGCATCGATGTCGTGTACTCACGTGAGTGTGAGCGAATAGGAGAGCGTGTGTCTATGTTGTGTAATTACATAGCAGGAAGTGTATCATCATAAGTGTGAGCGATAAGGAAAAGAGCGTACGTTAATGTTGTGTACTCACACTGCAGATAGTGTATTACCATGAGTGTGAGCGAGTAGGAGGAGAGCGTGCGTTGGTGTTGTGTACTCATACTGCAGGAAATGTGTCACCATGTATGAGCGAATCGAATGAGCGCATGTGTTGATGTTGTGTACTCACATTGCAGGAAGTGTATCACCATGAGTGTGAGCGAGTAGGAGGAGAGCGTGCGTTGCCGCGCGTCGTTGATGTTATGCGCCTGCGCCCACAGCTTTGTCAACGCCACTAGAGGCCGCACGCGCCAATCCACTACGCAACGTTTACATATTGCTTAATTTAGTAACTTACAGCTTTTGGAACTTACACAAACATAATTAAACACCTGTAAGTGATTAGGTTTCAAAAATTTGAAATACTTGATGATACATATGTTGAGTACTCACTCCTGGAGTATCCGTAGAGCAGATTAGTGTTGCGTATACCGACCACGTTGTTGCAATTCAGATCTACCTGTAGACCGTTGCGCGCGTCACGGAATTTAAGAATAGGCACCTTAGCCTGTATTAATTCCGCACCTACAAAACAAAATAGTGGGAAGTGTGTCATGTAATTGAAATAAATAAATTATTATTTGTCATTGACTCCATGTATGTGCGTAATTAAATCATTATATATGAAAATTGAAAACTATAGTATCTCAATTATTTATTCATTAAAATAGATAAATAACACATTTGATTTGAAGTGACACTTTCAAAATTTTAAAGAATTACACTCAATACATCTACATCTATTGATACAGTTTAATTCTTAAAGCATTTCTTTAAAATATACGACGGACATCTACCTATTCAGATACAAATACAAAAATAAATAAATTATAAAACAATTGTTTTATAATTTATTTATTCCAGCAGATCATAGATTCTTGACTCTTGGTTTGGGCTGCTTTTTACCAGATATTCTATCCTACGTTGGTAATTATGCGTGTGATATCCATCAATGATATTTATTGGTCTAAAGAAAATAGTACTAGTGAAATCGGATTTTACTAATCTCGTTTAGGATGGACCTTACTTTTTCACTAGACAGTTAAGTATTAGTAGAAACGATCATACAGTAACAGCTGTCATCAAAATCATCAGCCCTTTTACGTCCCTATTGCAGAGGTAAGGCCTTCCTTATGGATGGTTAAGAGGATATTAATATCAACTGTAAGTTTCCGAAATTGTAACAAATAAAACTAGTGAGACTGACCAGGATCGAAGCTCTTGATGTATCCTAGTATGTAGTTGAGATGCAGCAGGGCGTGAGCGCGCGGCTCCACGTTGTCGAGCGGGCGTACGTACAGACACAGGTCCATGTCCGACGACTCCAGGCCGAACCCGGACATCGTCGACCCCACCACGTACAACCCGTACCGAGGGAATATCGACTGCAAAACACGACGCACCATTTTTTTTATAGGTTTAACGGCCTTGGCTTTACAATATTGGTCCTTAATAAATTGAGGATATGCAGTTCAAAATCAAGTGCGGAAATTTTACATACCGTTGTAGTAGTATTTTCTAGTCTTTTAAAAAATTTACATTTTACAAATGCACCTGTTGTATAGGTAGTATTTACAAAGTATTTGTTACAAACTTTAATATTTATTTTTTGATTTATTTTTATTTTTTGTATTCACAAGTGGTTAGAATAATAAAATAGAGCCATTAACTTTTTATGCGCAAGTGCAGACTTATTCTAAGACATATTTATACTTGTAAGAAAAAATTGATATATTAATCGTATGAAGCATGTATCAGTTTACCAGTCGTCTCAATATGTTATTTTTTCTAAATAAAAGTGAGATTTGTTTGTTTCTGCATGTAAAACTCGAACGCACCAGGGACTGTACTACTAAAACAGAATAATCCGGATAATATTTGTCATTTAATTAACTCGATTTTAGATTCTGTCCGTGAGCGAATACGGTGACGGCCATCGTTCGATTACAGTGATTTTATCCCTGAGCTTTACCACATAATGCTAGTGTGGTCGAGAGAGAAAGATGGTGCAATACACCCGTATAGCGTTGTCTCATCTCAACTACAAATTAACATTAATTGAAGCTTGAAGCGATAAAACAAAAGTGTTTAAAAATAGTCAGTCTAAAAACAGTGTTCAATAATAAAATGCGTAATCGCATATTTCTATCACACTAGTGACGTCATAAACATGACTTTACGTCATGTACGATTTGTGAATCAAACGGATTTTATGGGTCACGCGTAATCGCTTGACGTCAGGACGCCCAAACAAGCGATAAACTTTTGTAAATTAGCAAACATTTAAAATTGTACACTTTTCTCGTATTTTTGTTTTAAATTTTTACATACATATTTCGAGGAAATGCGTTTTCATATAATTATCGACTAATAAGAATCTTGTGTTATTTTTTCATTATCATCATGTTTAAAAATAGGTTAACTACCTACATGAAAGAGGATCAGCTGGGTACTAAAATTCTGTTTGCTATTATTTTTTATATGTGTAATATTAGACATATGTTCTCCGACCAGAGGCAACTAACTAGGATGTTTTCTAAATCGTGTTATTTTTGCTATTTTTCTATATAAGAACTTGACTATACCACATTCATGCAAAATAAAAATTGATATTATTATGTTATTGCATTTAAGATAATGCTAATTTGTACAGTTGGTACAGTCTTTGTGTTCTCAATGAATGAATAATAAAAAGAAATATATAGACATTTTACATTAATGATTTATTGGAAAGTACCTTTTCATTAAATTGAACAGTGACTTTAATAACACCTATAGTCCTATATAGTTACGAAGTATATGGAATTTTTATTTTTATGAGGTAAAATGATTTATGATATAGTATGTTCCAACTAATATGGTACATCACGATGTTTTGGTTCGAGCAGAGACCGACGATAACGTTCGGTTATAGTGGGTCGGTCGGTATCGTATGACGAAAATTTAAATGAATCTTGATTTGATAAACATAAGATGTAAAATACCTATATAGCATTAGGCGTATGTTCGCTCATACTCAGCAAGGGTCAGGCACTTGAACATTGGTGGATTGCCCGATGGCAAGATACTTAATCATTCTGATTGGCCGACATTTGCCGCGCATCGAGATTTAGCCTTATACGCAGATACATCAATGAACCACATCAGTTGTAAATAATTGTACCTTTTCTTGAGGCTTGTATTTGAAAACGTCACGTGCATTAAGAATGCAAGCATGTACTGATTAATTTATGCGAAGTTATTAATGCTAATAGAAAAATAAATAAAACTAACATTACCTTTATAGTGATATAAAGGTAGCGCCAGAGGTTCATTTTTTTCCTAAAGGTTTCCTCGGTTTGCTGTGACTTGACAAATTTGTCCCACATCTCTTGTGAGAGGGTGTCCCATTTCGAGCCTGCAACAATTGATATCATAATATAAATTTTAAATAATATGTTAAATAAGGAAGACTTAACATTATCGGTCAAACATTTTAAAGTTTGTGTTCAGTGTTTATTTTTTAAGCAAAAATTGTTTAGTAAACTTTTCTGTTTTGTAAATTGATATCTATAAAAACAACATATTTCCAGAAGGAGTTCTATGATGAAATATTAGTATAGTAAAATCAAGTTTTGTATCATAAAATCAAGCAAATACCAATATCTAATATCAACTACCTTCTTTAATGTAATATATTATTCAAGCAGTTTCTCAATAATATGACTAGCATAGAAAATTGATTCATTTTGAGTGATAAGGCTTTGCAGTTAATTTCCAAAGTCAAAGTATTTTGTTTGCGCAATAATATAGGTGTCTATAGGTGTGGACGAAAAGTTAAATTTGTAATCGACTAACCATTGAGCAAATCATCCGGTGTGAACTTGACTTGGAAGGGGTAAGAGGCGTTGAGATATCGTTCGGGTGCGATGCGTCTCGGACGCGCGTGCGCTTCCCTGCCGCGGCGCGACCGCCACTCGCGCCATTCACGCGTGCCCCCCCCGTACCCGCCATAACCCGCACCGACTACAGCACCCGCTGATGCGCCCGCGCCCGCGCCTGCCGGCGATACGCCGCTACTGGAACCGCGCGACGACGCTTCCCCTAGCAACGAAAGTTTCCCAATTTTACTCATTTTTGACGCGACTTCATTAGTATGCAAATAAATATTTAAGTAAGACTAAGCATTAAATATATTTTATGAGAGCTTGAGAATATTACACAAATATTTATCTTTCTATTATATATTTAGGTGTTACCATAGACCAAACTCTCAGTTTCATACCATACATTGGTATCCTTGTCTCCAGGCTACGTAAGCTTATATTCATATTTAAATAATTAAGACATATAGCAGACCAATATACAATTAAAATGGTTAATTTTGCCCTACGCCAGTCGTTAATTGACTACCGCATCACTTCCTAGGGGGGTTCAGCTAAATCCGATATTCTAGAAACCGAGAGAGCCTATTTTAAAAACTAGTGCCGGCCTACCATGTAGGTTTCCAACTATTGACCTCTATAAATTATGGGATATATTAACCATAAGACAGACCTTCGTTCTTCATACAATTCTTAAAAACATAGAGAGATTGAATTCAACCCAGAGCTACTTAAAAATAGACGCCGAACCTATAAAGTATGTTTAAATCAAAACATTCACAATATTTCATCACATACACTTTATTGTTTTCTTGGACCATTTTTATATAATAAAATAAATGAAATTCTCACTATTTACCCTTTACATAATATGACTTGTAAGATAACTTTATGTAATTGGTTAAAAACATTAGATTATCAGGATACTGAAAACTTTCTAACCTAGATTTTGTAGTTAACTAGCTGATCGTAGTCTCAATACTACTTTAGTATGATTCAGGTAATTAGTCATATGATTAAATAGTATATCTAACATATGAGATGCCAAGGGGAACTGTATAGTGGAATAAAGTGTGACCTATAGATTGGTTTGGACTTGAACTGTTCGTTCACCAAATTTCGTCGAAAGTCGATTAGTGGTTTTTGGGTGAAATAATAAGCATACATACAACTTAAACTTTCGCGTTTATAATATTGGCAAGATACTATCACCTAGTGGTCTTCAGATATTGCCTGAATAACCGATCCATAGCGTAAGCTTAGAAATTGCATAGGGCTAGGTCCTAGTAGTAGGGTCCAATTAAGACCGGCAGACTGGGAGTCGTCCACCTGAAGGTCTTGGCAGAGGCGGCCAAGAAGTTGGCGAAAGTTGTCCAGCTGTGGCGGATCGAAGCGGACTGTGCCTTCGGTGTGGACGGGCGGATCACAAGGCCGCCAACTGTGAGAGGGTGCCGAATTGCGCGGTGTGCGCAGTGGCGAAGATACCAGCTGGACACTGGATTGGCAACAAGAGGTGTCATCCCCCAGTCACGAGAGTAATGCCAGTTCCCAGCACGCGCAGCATGACGAATGCGAGAACGTTTTGCCTACACTCAAATGTTACTTTTCTCGGGTGCGCCCATACTATATCTCACTCTCGACCCGAGACACTGACAAATTAGTGTATACAAAGCGTTTCTCGAGTTTGTCATGCTACGCGTGCAGGTCTCGTCAATCTTTAGTCTTTCATGTTCAGTGACAAGGGATAGAGTCGGCTGCGGCTCGGAGAAGGCACTCACCACTTCGGCGCTTTATGATTCGTCGGGGGGAGGAGCCACGTCGACCAGCAGCCGATACCATGGCAGCGGAATTACTCTGACTTATCGCTCGAAGGGCGCCAGAGTGGCGTCGGGGTTGCCCGAGGAGTTAAGCTAGAGGGGGAGGCCGAGGAGCGGTTTGTCAGTGTTCGTCGGACGGTAAAGGGAGAAATTATTGCACAGTTGCGCATCTTTTTTCCCTAACGGGGCGAGCGTGAGGGATGACTACCTTTCGTTCATTGCACGACTCCAGCTGTCTGGGGGGATTTCCTCGGAACTACCCGGGAAATCCCCTAGCTGTACAGAGAGGGTGGGATCAATACCGTGGTCCACCACGGTCCGGATCTTCCTGTGTATTGACTCTTAGGTACCAGGTACCGGATTACACGAGGGGGTAGTACGGAGGTTTTGCACGGTAGGCCCACTGCACTGGACCGCCGTCCCTTGCAGTGGGAGAGTCCGGGTTTAGTCGGCCTCTCATCCTTTTTATATCATTTAAAAGTGATGTGTTTTTGTTACTGTTTATGCTGAATATATTAACGTAGAAAATAGTTAACATATATTAGCAATTTTTTATCTTACACTTTTCTCACATTAATTAAATTCAAGTCTGCAGATTTAAGATGCAAATCTTATGGACCACCCTTTTCCTTATTTTTCGGTATGAGTCTAGGTTTTGAAAATTGAGTACCTACATATTCTCGAATCCATAATTTTTTCACCGGGGAAGAGACTTAGTATGGCATTCTTCCTCTATACCATACCATATTTTTGCAGTGAGTGATTATTTTGAACCATGTATTCTATAATGATGATTTTGTCGTCTCTCCTGACACTGGCGACCGGGGCAATTGCCCCCCCCACTTCCCTTCCCTTAAATCCGTACCAGCATATTAGCATTATCAAGGCAGGGCAAGGAAGTTATTCTGCATTTGACCAGGAAAACAATCTAAAGTGAGAGCTTTCCTTATGACTTCGGAGGCGAGCTTCATATGCATACAGCGTGCATGAAAAACGAGAACAAGAGGAAGTAGCATGGTCGGAAAGTTAATTTTGAAAAAGGGCAGAGTGCACAGCAATTTAATAAAAATGAAATGAGACTACTACAAGATCCACTTTGATTCTAGGTTTGGTTGTCACAATGGGGCTCATGTTAATTTATTAAAAAGTAATACTCTCATTGATAGTAGTTATCGGCATTTTATTGAATAGTATCTTTGCTTTAGAGTGGTTAGTGTAGTTTGAGAGATGTTTGCTTATCTGTGGCGGCGCAAGGTCGCATCGGCTGCTTATTTACACTGTTATCTAACACACTTATCATGGTTGTAACCGAAACGCGTGAAAAATAGTGTAAATTGTAGTGTTAGCATATCTCAAAATCTCATTAAATATGAATAAATGAAATAATTAACCTAAAATTACTAAGAAAAATTAAATCTATTATAATAAGTGACATAAATATTACGAGCACAATTATTTACATAAAACAAGACGCAACAGCTTGTGCAAATGTGCATGTATTTTATTTTTACGCATTATTGATGAAATTATTCACTTATAATATATAAAAACTAGGAAGATATTCTTTATACATTTTTCCATCGATCCTGCTTATTATAAGAGCCATTTATATTTCGATAAATTCAAGTATAAAATAATTACTTTTAAACAAATTTTCTGCTTGTATTTTAAAAACTGGTTTTCTATCTGTAAAATCAATAAGCATGAAGTTTTTTTGGTGTGATAGCTTTTTTGTTGACTAGGTTTTTTTCTAAAATCTGTAAATGCAGTTTAGAATATTTTGAAGTTATGGATATCTCCTAGGAACAATGTTATGTAATACTACTGGTTAAGGTTACCTGCCCTTACCATTTATTGTCAAAAAAACTACCCTGTTAATATAAACTGGTGTCTGAAACTCAGGTTTTAAATACCTACCTCAGATGTCAGGGTGCTCATAAAAATGTATACTTGTCTCTTTTTGAAAATAAAGAACTATTACTATAAATTCTAAGAACTCTAATGCTCTTTGTATGTAGTTTTTATTAACTAACAGAAATATATTGTTTTCAAGATTAAATCCAGGAATTATGTTTTTAAATTCTCCTTATATATAATTGTTGATTTCCTGAGCCAAAATAAAAACAAACAATAGTGTAAACATGACTATAAAAAAGAATCATAGAATAATTTTAATAAATGTAGCTTTGATAATAACAAAATTCTATGTCTGATATATAAAATATTACAAAACTCAATCTCTGGAAATGTTAAAGTAAAAAATATATGCTTGAAATTTGGGTTTTTTTAGTCCACAAAATTTAATATAGCTCATTTGGTGAACTTGATAATAATACAATTGCACAAACATCCATTACAATTTTATTTTACATAATACAAATTTGACATTAATTAGAGTTTAAAGACGTCATTAATGCATGTTTGTGCAACTGATCGATAGTGCTTGTGAAAGTCACATAACACTTGAAAAAACTCAATTAAGAAACTTTAAGGTGAAATGTAAAGGTGAAAATTGAAACAATTACTAGATTGAACAATAATGTTTAACACCAACAAAATATGAATTGTGTACTTTTATATTTTTAATGATATAATAAACATGATATTAAAAAATAAAACAAGGACAATTACTAAAATTGCATAAATATTTCAGATAAATCTAAATCTAAATGTTCCACTAATAGGTATTTAGAGAGTAGTAAATGCAATACTTTAAGAATCTTTGTGCTGATTGATAGACAAAATACAGCCTTAACTGCTGGTCCTAAAGATTTGAAATTTGGAGGGTACATTCATCTCATAACGATAAAGTGAACTAAAAATAGATTTTTGAAAAGTCCAACCTAAGGAGGGTTAAATAGGGTGAAAATTTTTGAATAAAAGTTCTTTGTTTTGGACCTTAGTGATGAAGATTGGTCTTAGAGTACTTGACCCTAAGGTTATATTTTATCCTGAAAACCAGCATATAATGTGTGAATACCAATATGAGTGGAAGCTTTTTAATGGGGAACAAACATGTTACCATAGCAACCATCATTTACTATTTGATTTGTTATTGTAAAATCTACATATAAATAAATCCATAAAATATATTATTTCCAAGGACTACTATAACGTCAAGACAATTGGTATTTGAGTACTTTATACCAAAAAAAATATTTTTAATGTTCAAGTGAAATTCATTTTACATATGAAATGTTTTAAGAACTTTAAGGTTGGCTAAATGGCTATGCTTTATTTCAGAATCAAGCTTATTTTGGTTTACTATCATATTTTGCTGTATTGTTGTAAGTGACACTTTTTTTCTAGTTAGCCTAATATATAATTGTGAAAGTAGACTCTGCAACATTTTAAATGTTTGTTATGGAAATAGTCAATTAGTCACAGATTATTTTTTTATATGATAATTTAAAAAGGATGGACGTTGATGAAAGCTAAGAAAAAAATATGCTACTAAAAACACCAATTCCTGATAGATGAAGTGGCAGGCAATAGCTAGTATATTATGATTATGTATTTACTATTGACATACTGCTACTGCATAAATATCTATTTTTTCATAGTAAAAAAAAATAGAAAATTCTAACAATAAGATTGTTTGTGAACTATTAGCGGTAAACAATAGCATTTATTTATCTATAAGTATAACATGCTAGGTCCATACATTCCCATTTTTTTCGATTACCTTCAACTTTGCACTTCCACTGAAACAACTCCCAAGTTATTTACTCATGTATCTAACATAAACAATTAAAATAATCATAAACATGTAAATAAAGAAAAATATTTGAAATAAAAAACAAGAAAAAAATTATAATTTTACATTTAAAGGAGGTATTTTAAAAACCGTTAAGCTTTCAAAAATCATTAGGAAAATGATGAATATGCTTAGTCTATTGTTTTGAATTATTGTTTCTTATTTAATTGAAAGTAGTTAGCTTACCTTTATCACCTGATTTATTGGAACCAGATGCATTGCTAGATAAGCTAGAGTCATCTGAATCATAGCCAAATGCAGTATTGTCTTTATGGCGGTCACGGCGCTGATGCCAGCGGCGCGGTGTACCGTGGCCATTAGCAGGCGAGGCCCCTGGTACCTGCACCACCTCTAGAGGGTAGTGCCGTGCCTGCCGTTCTACTCCTACCATATACATAGGCCCTGGCCCACCAAACCCTCCGTTCCCATGGTATATCATCGGTGCTCCCTCGTTCATCGCCATAAATATCTGCAGCCGAGAAGGTTATCCGTCAGACCAATTCGCCGGTTCAATCACATTTTTTTTCCAATACCGACCTGATTTGTGTTTGAAAAATTGATGGAAATCGGACGCTTATGAGCGTCTACTGCGTCATATTAAGAGTACAGTGCAATGTTGAATAAAATAATAATTTTATTTATCTTGAAATCCCCGAAATTCGACACGATTCTTCAGAGTTGAAAGTCTTCACAGTCGGCGATGGTACTGGTCGCTGACAACGCACTTATCTTTAGAGCTTCCACCGTACAAATACAAATAACTAACTTTTATTACTTCGACGAGGTAACAATAAGTCTACCCACGAAATATAGCGAACCAGTAAATTCTAATGAAAAAAATTCGCCATGACTTTTGGAAGCTACACTATCGACATCTGACGGAAAAAGGCAAACTGTCACACGTGATTTTTTTATCTATGTATTTGAATTCTGTGTTCCATTGCAGGCCAGTGTGTCGAATCTTTATTTTTTTTATGAAGAATAGTATTATAAAAAAGATATATTTGTTATAAAAACAATTTTCGCTATCAAAGCCAACGTCTTTTTTACTTTTAATCAAGGATGAGTGTACTTCTATTTAACGTTATGATTACCATGACACCATGATGACGATATTATTTTGGAATATTTACTTACGGCAACAATTCCATGAATTATTGACATTGACAGCTGTTTATGACTGTCAATTTGTCACACACGTAGAAAATAGGATTTTGCAAAATAAAAAAAATAGTTCACAAAAGATTTCTTATAAATTCCTAATAGTCTTTGAGCTTTTTTATACTAAAATTAAAATATAGAAAGTTTGTAAATAGAGTGATGACGGTGAAGAAAAACGATGTAACCATAAAAGTGCAGAAGTCAATAGAAACAAAGTTTATCGTATCATTGTTTGATTACTTCTTTATCTAGAAGAAAAATAAATTCATAGGGATGTCACATTTTGGAGATTTCATGGACGGCGTCCCTGTTAAAATATCAGAAAAGTACAAAAGGCCGCCAGTAATTGAACTGCCTTATAGTGTTAACGAATGTATTTTGCGAGCTCAAAATGTTGTAGAAAACGTCAAATACTGCTCTACGTTTGAAAAAAATGTACTTACGAAACTCAAAGAGCTTAAAAGTGCTAAAGAAACGAAGAAAAACGAAAGACGACACCGCTTGCAATTATTAGAAGAAGCCAAACAAAAGAAATTAGATGCTATTGCTGCGGCCGAAGCTGAGGAGAAATTGAAGCAGTTGAGTGTTTCTGAAGTGTCTTATCCTAGTACAGATGAGCTCAGTGCACTCTCACCAGATGAAAAACATGAACAATGCGATGTGCTCTTAAAACAAGATTGTTCAGAAGCTAGTGACATTGTGCATAATGAAAGTTCGTATCTTTCATATAACACACAGGAGGCCCAGCCAGATATCCTTCAACCAATTCAAGTTCAAGCTAACAACCCCTATAGTAATCTACTGGATGATCCAGACCCACTGCAGGAGTTGAAATTGACTAATAAAATTGCTAAAATTCCACAGTATAGTAAAGTACCACAATATAGTAATATAGACACACTAACTTATAAAGATTTTGAAAATGATACATCCAGCCCATTTGATAATGTGGAACTGAAGACAATAAATGATATGGAATTACTAGCTCAAGTTCTTCAGAGTCAGAGAGATTCTTCTACAAGTTATCATACACAAAATTATGTACCAGAGCAGACATACATACCTAATTGCTCTTCACAAGGTCAAGTTGATGGGATGACATATTTACCTAATACATATGTAGAACAATCAATACAAGACCCTGGTGTTATGTATTTACCCCAACATTACCCTGTCTCAAATGGATATTATGTGTCACCTGAAAATAACTGTGACAATACTATGCCAACGGAGAATATGAATATGTATTTATCAAACTATCAATACTACATTCCTACCAATCCTTATCCTATTGTTGACCCATTGTATTATAATAATCAACTACCAACAACTTCTACAGGCCCAATACAAAATGGTTCAACATATATACCTCAGCCGTATTATTTCCATGTTCCTCAAGTCCCATATGCTGCAGATAACACAACATATAATACAATACAGAATCAAAATATTCAAAATATTGAAAATCAGAATATACCTTCTAACACTCGGAATACAACAAAATCAAGATCCCGGAGTGTCCCTGATATTGTAAGAGAATTGAATGAAGAGTTAGCTTCTGCTAAGTTAAGGATGAATGAAAGGTCTTATAATGCTAGCCCAGCTCCTAAAAATGTTCCTCGGTCATGTTCTAGTAGTGAAAAGAAAGAAGATAAGAAACACAGAAGGAAATTAGAAAACCTACCTAACCCATATGAGAAAATGCCCTCGCAACTACAGAATATGTGCCAGAAAATTCATGGTATGGGCTTTCCACTAGATAGAGTTGCCAGGGTTTGTGGTCTATTAGGTGATAATGATAAAAAGGTAAGATTAAAAGACAATGTATGGGAATAGGGTTGTGCAACAACTTTTTTATTTTTATTTAATATATCTGAAATATATATTTAAAAAATATTTAAATAAATATCATTCATATTATAATTAAAATCTAAAAATAAATTCTTATTTTTAGATTTTAATTGTAAAATAAAATTTTCTGCAAAAACGCCACTTCAGTCATAGCGTCGCTACGACGTCATGACACTGAAATGAATATCTTTCTATTGTTCGTAACTCTCAAGATAATTCTTTTTTTATAATTATCATTATAATTATCCAATAAATATATGATAATTATCCATAGTTTTTAGAATACAGGGATATATTCATAATTGAATAATCTTTTATTTTTATTTTACAATACTATACTGAAAAATGTTCTTAGTGAAAAATTAAGCTTAAAAAATCCACATTGTCCCTGGTACTCATTACAAAGTGGAGTTTTTAAGCATTTTTTATTAAGAAAAACATATCATTTAATTAAAAAAGGGGCTCTTAATATATTTTTTGTTTTTGTAGGCCCATCCTAAACAATTTTTTCTACCAGAAAAACCATATTTGATAGTTATTGAAATGATTCCCCTTTGATAACAAGTCCTAAAATACATAAAGATATTGTGTAGTGTTTTAAAATTATTAAGGTATATTTATTAAGAAATTAGCGCGATAATTATCAATGATATTTATCACTTTGAACTCTGTGCATAGTGTTGAATTCTCTGTTCTGATATAAGTAAGAAGAGCATGATGTTTTCATAATTAGTTTAAGTATCATAAATAAGCATAAAAGTGTGATTATCGGTAATAGTATATTTAACACCAGTAGAAAAAAAAATTGTATTTATTTTCTTTTACTGTACATCGGCATTATAATTACAATCTTTTAATCACAGATTTTATATAATTGGTTTTGGAAGTTATTTACAGTATCTTTACAATATTTACAATTGTCCTTTTATTAAAATATTTCATAAAGATTTACTATTTTTCAGGTTATTGAAGGACTTTTGATATTAGGGGAATTAATGGATCTCGGCTTCACAGAAGAAAGAGTTTTGACTGCTCTTACAAAGCATGAGTTTAATAGAGACAAGGCTTTAGATGAACTGGTTTCATAATCCAAAACACTGTAAAGAACTATAGTAATATTATAATAGGTAAGATCATTAAAATACAATTTATCTACTCATATCAATCAATAAAATGTAATTTGAAACAGTAGTAAAATAATATTTTGTTGAAAGGTCATTCCGATCTGAGCTGGAAATAAAATTTGGAGGATTAAGTTAAAAAATAATATACTCATGTTCACAACAATAAATCATTATGTTTAATATTGGTTCCCATTTTTTATATTGAGCTATCTATATCTTCACGCCAGATCTCTTGTTGGGTATTTTTGTATATTCAGTTAGAGCATAAAGTCTTTCACTAATAGTTAACATTGAGATGTAAATTATTTAGTATTAATAATTGTGTTGTGATAAGAATCTGATTCACATTAACCTATAATTTATTTAAATACTAAATCTTCAGATTTACACTACTAATATATTCAATTATTTAAATTATATTTGTAAATTATTTGATAACAGAAAAACAATTTTGTAAGTATTTGATTTAATATTCATTAATATGGGGTTTTTACGGACTAAAGTATTCAGTTTTTTAATGAAATTCAAGCACAGATGCAGGGATTGCTAAATCAGCGTCAACAACTATCCAAAGTGGATCAGATTCATGGTTAAATTAAAATTATCAAATATGAAATAAAAAGTATTCATTACTATATTGTTTCATGGCATTGCTGGTAATGGTAAATATATTTTGTATGGTTTCATTGTATCAATATACTAAATGTCAATGTCACTGGGCATGATTGTGTTGCATTTATTATCATAATAACATACATAAATGAAAGATGCAAAAACAAAAATATGAATTTTAATGAGTCAGAAAAAAATAAGAATTCCTCTGTTACTTGTATTTAAAATTAAAGTAGTGACCGATACAATTAGGCCCATGTTGACTGGTGAAAGTAAAAATAAATAAGTAGATTATGTGCAAATTGCTTCTAGTGTATATTGTATTGATGAGCTGGCCTTGCCGATTGAGCTATTTGTAAAGTTGTTACATTAATTTATGGATGTAAATATCTAGAAAAAACTTAATAGAGAAAGTGATGAAAGTTAGCAATTATAAATATAAGATATTATTTTAATTTGATTTTTTCACAATGTGGTTATTTGGTTTGAGGCTCAATAGGAAATTTAAGTAGGATTTTTACAGTGTGTTACCATTATAATACAATAGATTGATAATGCTACTTTCTTTTCTATAATGCCCAGTATAGAACCTAGATTTAAAACATTTTATTATGAAACGAGGAACTTTAGTGTCAGGTTTAAACATTATAAATAAGTTAACACAATTCTATATGACGTTTTCTCTTGTATTATTGTCAATTTATTGTACTAACTTAAGACTTCGTTTTGTAATAAGGTGAAAAGGGGTTTTAGATCTCTTCTTCCAAATTCGATGTATTAAAATCCAAAGTGTACTTTCCAAGTACATACGTTTGGATTCTATTCTATACTAGGCATTATAGTAGCTACGACATTGTCCAAATTTCGAGAATTTGCTACGTATTTTCAAAATAATTGTTGCAAATGATTAATTTCTTAACACTATTATTTACCAGCGAGTGAATTATAACGAAATGTGTCTATATATAGTATATATAGTTCTGGACAGGGTCTTACTAGCTTTTTTGAATCGTGGATTTCTACAATGTATCTTATCGTATTATCCTATATTTTCTTCACGGCTGAATCCTTAAGGGGAGGCACAGAACTGAGCACCATTTCAATCAAATTGATCTTTCAATGTACATTTTTAGAAATGCCACCATTAGATAACATTTCAATTGTCCAATTATTTTATTTTATTGGTGACACACTCTTGTTTTTTTTGTACAAGTAAGATTCGAATGTTTTTTGATTTCAAATAAATTACATTGTGAAATATTATTTTAAGACAAAATATAAGTGATCCGTTTTCTTAGTTCTTATTTGATATGAATACAAACATACATGCATTTAAATTTTAATTATATTTAAATATTTATGTATTGTTACTGTTTTCTAATATTTTTAGTGTCTCGCATATCCTTTCGTCCAAGTTCAGGCAATATAAAATACCTACTATATTTATATGAATTTGGACAGATATTAATACTTACAGTTATACCGTATTTATAATTATATTAATTTGTAAACTACATAAAATTTTACTGTGTTAATAGAAGGCACTATTCATTTATTACGTCATATAATATTAGTTATTACAAAACCACAAGTTGATTGATCCATCTCCAATACAATATAGATATTAAATAAAAATGAAGAAACATTTAAAGTTTTTTATTTTTCAAAGAAAAAATTTTGGAGTTATGTTTGTTGTAGGTATTAATAGGTAATTTTACGTTTAATATTTGGCATACACCTCACTAGTGCAGATTAGCGCGCTTTCTCCAATTTTATTTTTTAAATTGCATTTTAGTAATTTTACGCATAAGTACTATGGAGACGGAGCTTCTTCTCATCCAATCATCTTGCGTAATGAATGAATAGCACCTAAAAAAAGATGTATTAATCAACCAGAATATGTAGCTTACTTGACATTTAATCGTAATTCATTAAATGTGAAAAATACGAATTGGGAATATGCATATTCTTTGAACATGTTTTCATATGATAATTTACATCGTTATATATCTGTAGTACCCGGCACCGAAAAACTAAAATTTAGTAACAATAATAATTGATGAAAATAAGTAACAACTACGAATATATATAACAATATAGATTTTGAATGATTGATAATTAATTATTCAATTACCCAAATCGATTAACAATTAATCGATTTTTGAAGTATAATAGGCTTTTTTTAAATAATTATATAGTTTACCAAATTGGTGAAATAAAAATAAAAGCCTAACTCAAACATAATTTAAATTATATTCTGTTGTTTGTGTAACAACGACATTCCTATTCGTGTACATTTTTGTCATATCCGCTCTGACAAGCACAAGGCGTTTGAATATTTTGAAGTTACCGTATTTTTTGCACTTTTTATAATTATTTTCAAGACGAAAAGGAACTAATGTTGAATAATATTTACATAGACTTTATCTAAATTTCTAAAGCAATAATCATCGCAATAAAATATATTTATCCTTTTTTTGAATCAGACGCATATTCCCTATTAAGCAAAAACTAATTCGACTGTACGTGAACGTGTTAAGATATTTTTTAAATAGATATTTACTAACGTCACTGAATGCTTCAAGCGAAACTCGTAACATATTCTAAACTGCGACACTAGCGCCAAATGTGCAGAAATGATTAATGAATGGGGACTAAAAGATTTGTAGGTATTTAAATTAAATTATTTCTATCCTAATGTGCGTTGTGTATTAAAACAACAATGTTTCTTATTTTTAATTAGGTTTATTAAGGTAAAATGATATCGAGGAATTAATTTAAGATAACGAGTGCAATGAAAAATGTACTTTCGTAAACTGCTGACATTCGTCAGTAGCATCGTCGTCAGTCTTGTTATCGCCATAGGCGCGATATAAAAAACGCCTTTTCATGGTTTCAAAAGCTACACAATATACATAGATATAGAAAAACAAAATATAATGAGTAGCTCGGTGTGGTCGTTGTGGTTTAGCAACTTTCGCAAGGGTCGGACACGGGATGAGTGCTTCGGAAGGCACGTTGAGCTATGGGACCTATGGGTCCCGGCTGCATTTGCAGTCGTTAATACCCTCCAATTCGCATTGGGCCAGCGTATAAGGTCATGGCCCAACCTCCTTAAAACCATAAAGAAGGCGTGAGCCCCTGTAGCAAGGATGTAAAGGGTTGACCATGATGCACAAAATATTGTACTTAGTTAATCTTTACTGTTATTAATCATAGTCATGTCTTTTCTCTATGTTTTGTTTTGAAATAATCTAGAAACTCGGTTTTACTTACATAATCCCCTACTGTAGCCGGAGGTTTTATTTTAATAAATATCGTTTTTTTTTGTGAATTAATAATACTATTTAGTTTTTATTTGTTTTATCTTTTGTTTTTCTTCGTTAATATGTGCTAATTGATGGTACTTTGTGCATTGATTATAAGTTCGACCTGTATAAGTTCTTTCGTAAGGGCAATTACAAATATCTATATACTTTATTTATAATAAATATTTATTTAGACAAATTTTGGCGTTAGCGATCGCATTATGAATTATTTTTTTACTGTAGCTTTGATTCTGGTTGTCTGTGTACAAACTATATTTTATCGTGGAAACCCTTTCAAATGTGTAATCAATCTACAGTTGAGTATAACTGAGAGTTATTTAAATAAATAATATGTATTTAAATGAAATCTTTCAGTGACTTTTTAGAAACTGCGAAATTTTATAGTTGTGACTTTTGGCTCTTCCGTCCCGTAAGGGGCCGTCCATTAATCACGTGATGTTTTTTCAACGTGATCATTTTTTAACCCCCCCTTCCCTTTGGTGATACATGGTGAGGTTTGAGACTACCCCCTCCCTCCTTCAACCAAAACACGTGTATTTAAAAAAAATCTTAATTTTTGACGTTGCTTTTCGGTTTAATAATCGCGCGTCGAGGAAAAAATAAATACGTGATATATTACTACACCCTCCCCTTGTGATATTTCGTGATTTCTTACGAAACCCTTCCCCTCCTTTCAAGCCTGGCTGGTCAGGCTGGTTGCAAATAAATTAACTTCTTTTATATTTTGCACAATTCCATTCTTCCGGGTCTTTAGCACGAAAAATTAGTGAGTGCGAATTAGCATCGAACACATATTATTGTTAATCTAGTACTCTTTACTTTTAATGCTTTTAATCGCCCATTGATTTGTGGTAGTTTTGCCTGAAAATATTAAACGTATGAAAAATATCAGTAGGAAGCTTAGAACAATAACTTTCAACCTGTACCTTATATCTACAGTCATAAATCTATTTTTTTTTAAATATTGTTACATGGATTTGCATTTTGGGTTAGATATCGATGCTAATGTGTTCTATAATATTTAGATTCGCACTCGATAATCATAAAATCGATATCATTACCCGATTTTTGTTTTATTTAAAGAATATAGGTATAGAGGAATCTGAATAATGTCATATTTTGCTTTTAATTACCATTGTTTAGTTTCAGATTTATCACAATGATTATTTCAGTTTAGAATATAAATAGATATGTATTTTCATCCATTAATTGTGTGCTAAATTTATAATAAATGCTTAAAAGTATACAAACTTTGTGTACCAGATGTTTTTTATAAACAACTATAATAGCTAAATGCGGTCACGTTTCGCTATGACCGACTCTCAAATGTTCCCAAGGGAATTTTTGGGATGCGAGTATTTATGAAGAAACAATTTTATATTAATGAAACCAATAAAATGAAGATTATACACTACTTAATGGATCGGACGTAAACTACGGAAGCGTGTTTTTTTAAATATTATTGTAAATACAACTCGATAATTTATTAATCATATGTCTGTTATTTAATCCACCTTTATGTTCTGATGCTTACCTAAATTATATAGGACAGGAATATAGGATTAATATTTTGAAATGAAGTACTACCGATAAGTGGTGTTTATGACACGTCAATATTTTATAATTTTGAGTGTAATAGTTAGACGATGTGGTGTTGCAATTTAATTCAATAGTGACTATTGAATAGTCAAATCAACTTGAACTATGAAATCCGTTCGCGACTCTACGAGACCTTGTATTGAGAAGAACCGACAATAAAATTCAGGAAGGGTTACTTTTTTCTCCCTCTTTTATTTCGTACAATGACTTCATGAGATTGCTTAATGTTTGCATAACCCGGTGTACGTTCGGTGTAGGCGGACGGTGCAACAAATAGGCATGATATCTCGGTAAACAAAATAAATTCTATACAGTTCGTCAGTCAGATAATAGAAAAATATTAGATACTTTTTTGTTTCAATTTAATAAAAATTAGCTTAGATAGTAGCCATTAAAGTCGAGGAGTGGGGGATCGCTACACCACACACGACTACTATGCACATTGAGACTGAGGTATTTTTTTACTTTTAGCGCTATCTTTTGTTGTTCACTATGAACTTTATAATGCAAAGATGCCTGTGAACGTAGTTTTCGTAGAAACTGCAATATATTAGGACAATAAATAATGGTGTGACGTCATGCGTCATTTCAAATTAACGTATTTCCGAAATTAATTACGTATAAAATACGTGTTTATATTTTTCAGTGATCTACCTGATGGTATAGTTTTATGTGTATCTGTCGTGTCGGACAGACAAAACATTATCTATAGATTTTTTGTTAAATTCATCGCAGCGGCGACGCGGCAACGCCGCCAATTCTACAGGGGGTCAATTCTACCAAATAAATTTTGTTTAAATCGAATCGAAAACGGATCAAAACCGAACGAAACTACAGTTTTTAATGGTTTTTCTATTCTACAAAGTGACATACTATTGGTTCCATATTCTATATGTCACTTAGTAGAATAGAAAAACCATTAAAGACTGTAGTTTCGTTCGGTTTCGATTCGATTTAAACAAAACTTATTTAGTAGAATTGGCCCCCAGGGGTCTACAAAACGCACGCGCGGCCGTTGCGCTCACATAGAAATATAGCTCAATACAGAAAGCAAAAAGACATTCTGTGGCTGCGCTATTCGGTAGTTGAGGAGAATCTTTATTGTCTTTTAGATTTAAATATCTTTTGTTACTTAGTAAATACAGTTGAAATGGTTATAAATAAAAAGAGGTTCACACCCGGTACTCTTCCGCCTCATTTAAATTGAGGGATGTAGCAGCTTACACGCCGGATTTTAAGGTGTCACTATCTCTGAGGTTCCGGGTTTGATTCCTGGTCGGGTGTATGAAGAAAATTTATTTATGTTGTGTGAGTCTGAATGTTTTGTTACCTACGTCGTTGCATCAGATTTCTATGATACTCGTACAAGTGCTTTCGTTACTTTATTCAGACGTCTTATATTCTGTTATTATTTAGACTGTTTAATATTACGGCGACGCAGCAATAATCTAGGGAAGAACGCCCGAGGGTGTCGGCCCTTACTTTGTTTACATTTTTATAGTAATTAACTAAGACAGATTCACGGAGACAATGTCATAAGCGATATTTTTTCCACGCTTTAATAAGAAAATTTATAATATGTAAGTAATTCATCACCAGCGAACGCGTATTCTAAAATATAACGGTATACCTATCGAGTTTATAATAATTGGCCTTTTTTAATAATATGGCGTGATTAGTTGTCTTACTAGTGTAGTATTAGGAACAACTGGTTCAATGAACTATCTCGCCTTTGTATTATAATCATTAACAGACGCCGTTGACTACGCATAGAAAGCAACTAGCTTTACCTACGCTGCTGATCATTCGACAGTTTTGTGCGGGTACCGTTTTTATTTACTTTGCGAATTCCGAGTCGAAAACTTTTGAAGTTACATATCTACAATTTTATTAAATCTGTAGGTAATATTTATAAAAATATGCGAGTTAGTAGACACGAACGACATCTATTTTTTTTTTAAATTGCTGCACTTAATTGGTTAATTTTTAACCGACGTAACACAGGGGTAATCTAGTGATGATGTGTGTAGTACATTCTTTTCTATAATTGTGAATGTTTTTTTTTTACAGATCAACCCTGCGATTCTGTAAAAATATAGACCAGAATTCGAATACACTCATGTGTCCGAATTCACGCCATTTAATATCGAAATTCACTTATGTCACGAAACGTTATTAACAATACGAGATTGAGCGGATGCCGCTGTTTGAAATGAGTTTTGAAATGACAGAAATAGAATATCTGAGTCACGTATATTCTATTAATTTCGCTTTGTATTTTTATACCAAAAATGGAATCAATAGAATTTCTACAAAAAAAAAAATCTGCTTTGGATTGTTTCAGAAACGTATGGCTGATCTGTTTTGATAATTCTTATATTTGGTTTGGATACGTAGATACTCTGAAGTTGATCCCACAAAAAATATTGAAAATGGATCAGTGTTGGAAATTTGTTGGAAATGTGTTGAAAATGGAAATTTGTATTGTCGAAATACCTATCTAGCAGATTTAAAGGTAAATAATTCTCATTTATTAAGGTTTTTAAAATACAACAATACTTAACCAAGTACAGGGGAAATTCGCATCAATAAAATCAGACATGGTTTTCTAAAATATTATTACTAGTGATATGGAAATAAGAAAAACATATAAGCAAAAACAAATGATAGTTATAACCAGTATGTAGCTAGATACCAGGTTTATTTATTCGTGCTAATGTTTGAGTTGGGAATATCTTTTGGGAATACTGCGGCATAAAAAATTATACAGAACAAAGCGTACAGTGACGATAGGCAGTGACGATAGGACGCCAGTACACCCATATGTCATACAAATGACGTAGGTAGTCACCGATATGCACATGTGCGGCTTTTATTTACAATGTTGTTTCACTAAAATTGCCCTTCGGTCATACGAAATATGTACCATATATGATCTTTATTTTTTTGTAGTGATCCGAATGAGGGATGATTTGCAAGTTGTTTTTTTCCCTCTAAACATTTTATTATTTGATGTTCATAATTTGTTCGGTTTATTAAGCACTTGTACACCAGCGTGTACACGTTTTATCTTGCTGATAAAATAAAAACTGCTCTTTGTATAGGTATCTAATGTATGACTAATTCAGTTAGTGGAACGATTCGCGACGACGACGCGATTAACCTCGTCGTGCGAACTAAGTGTAGCGGGTAAAGGAACTTTACTTCCTAAACGAGTGGCGTAAATCCCGGCCTATACGAAATGGGTCATAAAATTCAGTTTCCGCGAGCCGCAGTCCAGACAATGCTCGACCTCCGGCATTGTCTCTATTCAGGTCTATTGTCATCGGCAGACAAGCCGCGATGAATGGGACAAGTTCATTCGAATCCGGCCCACATTACACTTTCGGTGGAGACGGATATAGCAGTGCTAGTGGGCAAGATAGAGAGGTGTGCGAGCGGACACTCGGCACCGCTGCTTGAGTTTTGAGGCAACCAGTCGCTCGGTGACCGGCGCACGAGTCGAAGCGCCATGTACGCGTGTTACATGACCGTTCGCCCGCATAACTACGATAACTGACTCGCTCCGCTCGCTCGCTGTGATAATATCGGTGCAAATCTGATATTTAGGCCGGTGATAGCGCGATAGGTTTCGATTTCGTGTTACGCGTTTGTCGTTTAGTAGTCGCCATGTGATCGTTCCCCGCTGATGGGAGCGAAAAGTGAACAAAAAGTCATCCGCTAATGTCTACCCCTCGCGGCTGCAACAAAAAAAGGATAAAAAGGCTATTCCTGGAATGCACACATGTGGACCGGGTAACCGTGGGTGCCTTTAATAACTCCGCAGTTTTAATAACATGCCCCGAAGGAGCAAGTGGATGCATCTCGTGGCGGGCGTCGCCGCCGGGATCACCTTTGGTATCTTCCTGAAGCTGTGCTTAAGACCTTCCTCTAGAACATCCATAGAATCTTGTCCGGAGGCAGCGAGATCACGTATGGGTCCTGACCCCCTCACTTTAATAAACTTGCAGTCAAACGAAACTGTGGAAAATTCAAATAGAACTTTAGTTTTCGTCGGTGTTATGACAGCAGAACAGTATTTAGACACACGTGCGAAGGCCGTATATGAAACTTGGGGGCAGGACCTTCCCGGTCGGATCGCTTTCTTCAGCTCGGAGGTGTCGCGTGCGCCTGGTTTGCCTCTGGTTCCATTGCGGGGCGTAGACGACAGTTATCCTCCACAAAAGAAATCCTTCATGATGTTGCTATACATGTATGAGAAATACGGCGATAGGTTCGAGTGGTTCATGCGTGCTGATGATGACGTTTACGTTAGAGGTGATAAATTGGGCGAGTTTTTGCGTTCAGTGGACAGTCGGAAGCCTCAATTTATCGGTCAGGCTGGACGTGGGACCACGGCGGAAAGGGACGCTCTAGCATTAGATTATAATGAAAACTTTTGTATGGGTGGTCCTGGGGTGTTGTTCTCTCGCGAAACTTTGAGGAGAGTAGCTCCTCATGTGAAGTATTGTTTGAAACATTTATATACGACTCATGAGGATGTGGAGCTGGGGAGATGTGTCGCCAAGTTTGCTGGTGTGTCGTGCACGTGGAGCTACGATGTAAGTACCTAATAATTACAGAAAAACAAATATTGTTACAAGTTGCATACGCCGATAAAAATGCCTAGTGTTTTTTAATAAAACATTGCGAATTATTGTTACTTCTTATCTTATTTGTAAGGTTACATTATCTTAAATACCTAACAGACGATTATTTTCATCAAAGGTCATATTTTAGTTATTTTCGTCAAGAAACCAATGTGTTGCAATGCAGTTATTTTTTAATGCTACCTTCTTAGGTGCACTGTTTGTTGATTTTAATTATTGTATAGGTTTTTGAATATTTGTATAGTAGAAATTGTGGAGAGTTTAATCTTTTAAAGATAAATCTCTTGATTTATCTTTAAAATTTAGTTGTGTTTTGTGTCTTCACAAGTGTGATATTCTTTCTTTTTATCTCTTTCTATTCTTAATGTTACTTCTTATTAGGCATTCTTGAGTATTACTCACGGCAATAATTATTTTGGGGTTTAAATTGGATGGTACAATAATAAACAACAGTTTAAAGGTATAAATTTATTTAAATTACCAGTCATTTATTTGATGCATCTAAAATAAATTTGATATCTTTGGGAAAACTGTTGATCGCTGCGAGCTTACTCATGACTGTGTGCAACCATGTGCAACATAGTTATTCTAGCATTAATTAGTAAAATAGGAATTAAAAACTTATCTAGTACCTACTAGGATAGGTCTCCACTGGTTTTTTTTTCACCTTTTCCTTCCCTGTAACGGGATCTTGCTAAGCTAATTTTACATAAACATCCCAGTTCTTTTATACCTTCCGTACTTCTACTTTATCCGTCTTCACTCTTCAACATTTTTATCTTAACAGGGGGGATACCGTTTCTGAGAAATAGGGAGTACCTACAAGGTTAAACGAGAAACCCCATTGGTTTTAATGATGGTAGATTATTCATGCTTTGTAAAATGATTTTACCTATACCTTAAATTTTTTCAAATATGTTTATTTGTTCAATCCGCGTATGGGGCCCAGTGTTACCAACCCCTCTGTTTAAACAATTGATGCCCCTGTTTTCTGTTTTATTCCGAATTTTATTGTTTTATTTTTTATTAGCGTTCAGCGTCATCTATTAGGTACATACATTAACGAAATATAATTCGAAATAACCGATTGCTACTCATTTGAAGCCACATGAAGAAATTCAATCAGACTATGTATGATTTTAAAAATGAAAATGAAGAAGATGAGGTAATTGAGGATGAAAGTGGAAAATAGTTTAGATTTTTATTTCGTTTCATTTTTCATTATTTTTTTATTTTGTGATTAATATTATAATGTAATAATGTTTTTAAGTTCTGATAACTTGAAACGGTACACAGAATACATCTACCCACCAAGTTTCAACTGTATAGTTCTTATAGTTTAGGAATAAATTGGGTGTGCAATACAGATGAATCTATAAGGATTCCGTTATTTGCCATTCAGCTACACCTTAATAAAGGACTGAATGCGACTCGGACTCACAGGCATATTGTAGTTTACTTATATAATTTTAAAATTATTAATTTTGATATTATAAAAATAAATCTACATCTATAAAAAATCTACTTAAGTTTCTTACAATAAGCTTAATAACTTCAAAGTATGTATATCTTGTGATAAACTTTTTTCTATTTTTATTTTTCTATTTTAACCCCCTTATGTAGAGACATGCGAGTGTCATTAAGGGTAAGAGTTAGGACTCCCTTTATATTGCACATTTTATTGCGAAGCGCATCTGATTACTACAGTTTGTCATATTATAATTTACTTTCAAGTTTGATAGCACTATTAGGTAGATAATATCTAATCGGTGTTTTCATAATGGCAAGACTAGCTGGTACTGCAAAATCGTGCTGTCTAGCTTAATTAAAAGACGCGTAATGAAAAATCACAATAATCATAATTGTGAGAAACAATTAATTAAAAATATATCGAAAATTATCTTATTGGGGGATTCATTGATTTCGTCTCGTTTTCTCTTTTGAGTTAACGCTCAGCCTTTATAAAATGTAGACTATATTATTCGTTGATATTGTAGTTATTTTAGAAATTTTTTAAACAGTTTAATAGCTTTTTGATGTAACCCGTAACCGTACAGTAGTTCACAGGTAGGATTCTTTACAAATAATTTGACAATTGAATATATAATATGTACAATATAGGAGTATATTAACATAAACATTAATCAAAAAGTAGAAACTGGTATTTAATATGACGGAAACGCACCATAAAAAACCTTACGTAAATAACTACGTAAGAAATTTTTTATACTAAAATTATAAATATTTATGACAGCACGACAATAAATACTAAAGGTTTAAATCACAATAAAATAAGACACTTAGGTATATAGATATTTAACATCTATTGATTGAATTTCTAAATATAAGTAATTAGTTCCTACTGGTGCTTTGCACCTTTCTTAACCTTATTTGTCAACATGTAGGTATTGATCGTAATTCAACAGTTTCAAAATTTACCAAAATCTAGCTTTTCGCCAGCGGGTTCGTCCGCGTGGTCTTGTATTATACTCATGTATAAACCTCGCCTTTGAATCACTCTGTATATATTAATGAAATCTGCATCAAAAGTTCGTTGTTTAGTTCGTGTCCAAAGTTTAAAATGAAATTTTCTTTAAATTTAATGCGAAATTTGAGCTTGGATTTTTTTTGGACAATTTCATTTATATTTGGTCGTAAAAATGACAATGCTACTCTCATATCGTCTTCTACATTTAACAATCTTGATCTTTTTTTAGTTTTAATGTTGGCTAATGCTGAAAATCCGAATTCACGCAAATAAGATGTGGAAATTGAAATAATATGTTTAAAGCTTTTTTTGTTTACAAATTTATAAATTGACACTACATGCAAATAAATTAATATTAAACCGAATCACATACATTTGCCAATTTTAACGAAAGAAAAGGTGCAGTAACTACTATGCAACACCTTGTGAATCCCAACTATCATTAAAACAACACGTTTTGTACGCAGAAGTGGCAAGGGTGCGCCGACTTGAGACATATTCCTATTGCTATGCACGCCGCTTCATCATAATTTTGGCACTAAGAAAAAACGCGCTGCAAAGCAAATAATAAAATAATTTATTTTTTTGTAGATTTAAATATATATTCATGTTAAAAATATTTTACTTTTTAAATTATATAATTTAATAATATTAACATATTTGTTAAATTTTGCGGCTCACTTTTGAAATTTGGCGGCACACAAAAGTGCCGCGGCACAGTGGTTGAGAATTACTGGCATAGAGTTTCAATAAAATAGTACATACCTTTATTAACTTTTGATGGGTTTATTTGATTGAACCTTTGCGCTTTGACAGTGCCGCGTTCGTCGTGTAGTTAGAGACTTTTAATCAGAGTAGCACTGTTGGGCAATACAAACGATGTTATCTATTATTTATTTATAACTTTGTTTTTAACAAAAGTCTATGAAATATATTTATCATATACAAATATACCAGAAAAGCATTTTTTAAATATAATTATAATGTGGGTAGTTCAGGTTTACCGAAATATGTCCTAAAGTGGTATTGTTTCATAATTTAATAAGTGGTAAATTTACCAACGAATTAAATATTCTTTTCTTTAAATATTACTAATTCCATAACTTTTGAATCTTGTAATAAAATATAATCACCAAACGCAATGAAACCCGTCCTGGGTTGGTTATTAAGGCTGTGCTGTAACATTGTCTATGACCTTCAATATTTGCTCATTAAAAACATCTATAATTACCTGGCAAGAGTAGCCTGCGCTGGTAGCGGGTTCCACCCGGATTGCGAAAGGTCGTGGGTTCGAGTCCCATCTCAGAGCACCAGAGACAAAGTGGATTTTTAAGCACTTCATTAAGACTAAAAATCGATTTGTTTATATGTCTTTTTATTTGCGATATTAGTAGTAAGTCTTTTGGCTTTAGGTCACCTTTTAAGCGATATTGAAAGTACCTAAATAACTTTACATCTTTTTCATACTATAGTTATAAATTATAATTCTTTGAACAATAGGTCGTTTGTCTTTATTATGAATAGAAACAGTGACAATGCTAACGTTCATCGTTCATTGATAGAAATGACTCCCTATAAAAATATCGTGGTCATGAATGAAATTTTTTAATAAAGATAAAGTATACAAAATTCATGAGGTTTTTGTTGATATTCCCTTCTTTTTATATAGTTTTTTGGTCAAGCAAAACTTTAATAAATATACGAAAAATGTTTTATGAAAAAGTAAAAGAAATAAAATGTTTTAGATTTGAATATCGACTCGCAGAAAAGATCAATTGATAAAAAAATTCAAACATAGAGCAATGATTATTTCGATTACCAATTGTCAACTTTATAGATAATTACGGAATTCTGCTTTTAAAAAATTGCTATTTCACTGCAATTTTTTGAAAGCAAAATGTGGTTAGTACTTCTCTTTTTAACCAAAGTGTTTTTAATTTTTGAGCTATGTACAATGGGTTACTAAACGTGACAGTATTTTAGTAGGTACCTACGATTATCTTTTTTTTTTTACTTATACATTTATTTCTGTGCCTACATCTTGTCAAGAAAATATTTCAAGAGCAAGAGATGCGTTAACATTTCTAATTATAAAGTAAAATATTTTCACATCCCTCATAGCTAGAAGTTATTGCATTTGACTTGTCGGTGAGTAAATATATCATACACTCAATATCTGAACAGTTTTTTTGCTATAACTGCCATAAGAAGGCATTAATTTAATTCTTGTTTGGTCAGTAAATAACACTGAAATCCATCACAGTCAATATATTCATTAAATATTGGTTTGCTCTTTGTTTGAAGGTGTTTGACCTTTCTAGAAACGTGTGATATAAAAAAAATTTTTGTGACTTTGATGTAGGTAGTTACATATTGAAAATAGTGTATTGATAGACCACTTACCCTATCAAACAATGGTGCCAACTCTGCTGTGCTACACTATGAACTAAATTAAACTTAAAAA